GGACCCTAACAGGAAACTGAAGGAACCACTTTACAGTCACAAGGTATGAAGAAGACACTAAGTATTGCAGAGTAAAAAGAGATATCCTGGGTCTTCTGCAAAGCTACTGTGCCAAGCAGAAGAACAAATAAAACTATTACCAAATGCCTATTGAAGCCGATTTTTTACTGCTGTAGTCTTTTGTTGACTCAAGTCTCTCTTAGCATCCACTGAATGCCAATCATCTGTGCTGTAAGTCACCCTTGTGCCAGGCTTCTCACCCACCTGTCCCTCCTTCTCTGATGGGCTCCTTGCAAATATCACATTCCATTTACTGTCTGGGGAATTTGTCCTCACTGACAAGTACTCTAGGTAGTGGCAGAGGAAGCAGAGCTTTACTAACAACTTTCACTTGCAATAGTTTTCTGGTACTTCTAGTATTCAGCATCTATAGTAACAGTTAATGGGATAAAGCTCATTCCACTTAGGCAAAGCCACACGTGAAACACCAGCTTTCAAACACAACCACAGTTGGGTAGGACTGGGCACATTAATCTGCTCAGATTAGGCTGATGCTTATTCTAACAGCAAAAGGAATGATGACACGTTGGTTCTTTTTCATAGTTAAAAGAAACTGGCTTCAGACCCAGTAAGACATATTACAGAACAAAATAGATTGGTTATATTTTGGAGCTAGATATAAGTGGTGGTTCCACAATGTTGTGAATGTATTAAATGCACTGAAGTTTTCATGTGAAAGTGGTTAGTTTTATGTTGTGTCCATTTCAACTAGAGAGAAGACTTGCTTCTTCTACTCACTTGAAAATGTTTCATTTGGAAGCAATATTCTGGATCTTAAGAAACTGACATCATCACAAAATTCATGGCACCAGATTTATAAAACAAGAGATCAAGGGAGATAAATACACAAACACACACACACACACACACACACACACACACACACACACACACTCCTAATCCTAAAAATTTTTAGGAGAAAGCAAAGTAAGAAATATAAAGAAAAGATAGTAACACAGAATCCAAATATATCAATTAACCCAATACATATAATTGAACTTCTGTTAGAATATCAATTGAATTAAAAACATACAGTGATTGTGTAATATTTATGAAAGCATGAAAATACCAAATGATTGAAAAGGAATGTGAAGATAAATATTTGTCACTATAACTATATTAATATTAGGCAAAGAAGATTTTAAGACCAATAGCATCATTAATGACAGGGTAGCTAGGTAAGGATTGAATATTTAAATCCAAAAGCAATATAGCAATTCTAAATACATATGCATCTCATTAAAGAGACTCAATAGATATAAACAAAAACTAAGAGACCTCCACAAATAAATTGACAAATGTGCCCTGATAGTGAGAGACTGTAGCATACTCCTTTCAATAAATTATGGTTCAAGCAGCCAAAATTTCTTAATAAAATCACAGAAAAATTGAACAATATAATTAACAACTCTAATCTGATATGATACTACCTATTGTATATTCAGTCTGCCTATAAAAGATATCTCAACAAATTTCAAACACTAGTTATTTTGTTCTCTTAGCCCAAGGAATTTAGCAATGGCTGTGGAAAAAGTGGGGTTCAATCTTCAAGGAACTGAAACAAATATTCTGACATCTAGTCAACTAAAGGAGATAGAAATTAAAATAAGAGATATTTAAAAAAATTTAAACCTTACCACTTAAAGATCTGAGTTTATGGAGTTAGAGCATATTTGCTAGGCATTCTTTGAACTACAAGAATACCGGACAATAAAGTTTTTCCTCTCTGATGTTTTCAGCCCAGTGTTACATCAGAGCACTCTGTCATGCCATTGTTCTTATCTTTTATCTGACAACAGCTCACTAGCCCCCAAGTTTTTCTCTCCTTCGGCTTGAAATCAAAAGCCCTCTTCTAAATATAAATTCACATCAATAAGACACCTGCAGTCCCACACACCCAGAAAATCAAAATTCCTTTTAGACTCAGCCTGGGTCAACTCTCTGAACAATATATTCTAATTCCTGCTGCAGCCAAATGCTTTTCCCTTTGTTAGGAGCTCAGTTGTGGTGAAATAAAAGATGACTTCTATTCCCTCTGTCAACTGAAGGTTTTTAAATCAGGCTGCCTACAGCTTTTTCTTTTATGGGATACACTCAATAACCTCCACCCCACAGAAACCCCTAACTACTCTATTTTCCTAATTTTCTGATTAGCAACTGGTTCCTGGAGCTTTTTTCCAGAAAACTTCCCACAGACCTTACCTCACTGGAATCTTTCCAAAGAAACCTAGTCCTTCAGTCAGAATTTCAGGAATAAAATATGGGTCTTGCAGAGTAGAAACATACATCGGATGAATCTCTTCATTCATTAGTGGTGGGATATGACCAGAGAAGGTTTGAAAGATTACCAGGACAGAGTTCCACTGAGAACTTTTCCTCGGAAATTTAGCCAGCACTTTGCAGAGCACTGAGAAAAAGAGGGCACAGGATTATTCGGCTCCACCCCAAAATGATCTTAGCTTTCAGTTTCCTTTTCTGCCAAGCTACAACACATTTTTCTCAATTAACTTGAAATCTCAGCCAAAAACATTTTAGGTGTCAGGAAGTAAAAGCCAACGCTCTTCCTTTGTTTCTCATATTTCAAGGGCATTCAGAACATCCAACAGTGGACAAAAGACAGGACAGCAGTCTCCTTGTCAGACTGTGATAGGGAGAGGTCACTGATGTGACTTTTATTGCAGCCTATGGTTATAATTGTACTATTTCATTAGTAGTTATTGTTTTTCATGTCTCACTATGACTAGTTTACAGATTGAGGTATGATACACGTATGAGTGTAAGAAACATAGAGTACACACAGGGTTCAGTCCTATGTGTACCTTCAGGAGTCCCGTGGGGTCTTGAAACAGCTCTCCCACATATAAGGGGAGAGGGCAACAGTAAAACTCGAGTCAAAGTAAGAAAGGACCCCAGAAAGGTGGTCAGTAGGAGGGGCATGCTGAGAAGGAGTCCAGGTATCACCCCACAGAATGGACAAGGGACATAAAATGCACAGAAAGGAGGAGGTACACAGAAGCAGGGGAAGGAAGACAGCAGCCTGGGTTAACAGAATCACTGTGGCCTTGGGTTTGCCAGGCAAGGATTCAATAAAGACAGTAAAGTGACCAGTGCTGCTTGGAGAAGGCTGGTGCACCTCAAGTGCTCCAAAGTCATGGGCATCAGCTATTCTCATGCAACTGTAACAAAGTTCTCTGGATGCTACAGGGAGAAACGTTTAAAAGGAAGAGGTACTGATTTTTTTTTTTAATTACAAAAAGGGAATGACATAAAAGAATTTAAAAATAGAAAATTAAATTTGACTTTTAAGTTTTTGGGTGTGTGTGACTTCACTGAGAGTTCTTTCACAAATGAATGAAAATAATGAGCGAGCGGCCAGAAAATAGCAACCGCTTGTGTAGACTGTGGTTAGCAGAAATTTAGCTGTCAAAGGAAGAATAGAGGTGGGTCAACACATTTTGAAAGGCTGGAGAAGAGGCAGGAAAAGAAGTTATTTTTTAAATGAAGGTGAATGATATGTGTGTGCGCACCTGCATGTGTGAGAGAGTGTGTGTCGGTGTCTCTGTGTATATGAGGTTGAAGGCCAAGAGTTATAAAAAATTACAAAAAGGATGAAGTTAAGGGAAAATCAGATCAAGATTCTGAAGGCATCAAAAAGGATGTGCTCGGGAGAAAAACTGAAAATAACCTTAGGGAAGAAGAGAAATAGCTCGTAAGGCAGAAGAGATAGGAATAAAGGAAAAGTAATAATACAGCAAGAGCAATTTGCACAGAGTTTTTGTGGTACTGAGGATTTAACCCAGAGCCTTCATACTAAGCGACATCCAAGCCCTGTTTTTATTTTTTTATTCTGAGTCAGGGTCCCACTAGATTGTTAAAGTTACCCAGACCAATTAACAGGGTGATTGTTCCTTTAGCCTCTCGGAGTGCTGGGATTACAGGCTTGGACCACATCTGGCTAGGAATTGTTTTTTGTTGCTTTGCTTTGTTTCTTTGTTTTGTGTTTTGTTTTATTTTTCTAAAACTGAGAGGCACTAAGCTCTGTAAGAAGGTATGATTTCTCCAAGTGGGCTCTAAGTCAAGTCAAGTGTGATTATTGATTTCCTTCCTTAAATCAGCGGACAGCTCTTTGTGTACAGGGAAAATCTGAAGGAATGAAGAAAGTCAAGAGCAACCATTTAGGCTCAGACTCCAGAAATAAAATAGCTCAGAAGAAGGCAAAGCAACCAAATTGATAGTTCTTTTGCAAATAGGAAGGGGACCAAAAGATAGAAGGGAAGTGGAAGTAAAAAAAAATTAAGATGCGTTCCATACACGTGCTAAGTACTGCGAGCAGGTACTTCTAAAAACTTTGTAAAAGGAAGCAAATTGAGACCGCTCTTGTCTCGCCCGACTTCCGGATCAGGACGCTGTTCCGCACACAGGTTTGAACTTGACAGACACCCTCCTCCTGCCCCACTCTGTGTTTTGCTTCATTTTGTTTCCAACATTTTTATTATGAAAACTTTCAAATTCAAATTTGAAGAAATAAAGTCATGTACACTCACATAGTCATCATTTAGGTTCAAGAAACGCTAACACTTTGCATTGCTTACAAACGTTATGTGTACTCTGTGTTTGTGTTTCTGCACAAGCGTATGGCTGAACCATTTGAAACTGGGTCAGAGATCATGATATTTAGCACTGTATGTGTCAGGATGTAATTCCTAAATTAAGAATCTCCTATATGGCTTTAATACCTTTATCATACCCAGAAATATAAAAAATACCTTGAAGTCATCCCACACCTCGCCATATTCAAATTTCCCAAGTTTGGGACAAACTATTTTCTAGTAAGCTTTTACAGACTAGGATGCAATCCAGGACCATGCACAGCATCTAACTGTTCTTGCGTCTTTTGTTAGCTTTAAACCGGAACTGAACAAACCACTTACTGATTTTTTTTTTTTTATCCCCACGACCAAGACTTTACAAAGAGGCTTGGACAGCAGCCTTGCACAATGACCACTTTCCTGGACGCTTGTGCTGGCACTGTTTAATGAGTGCCCGTGACTCCTATTAGGCTCTGAACTGGGGTCTCGACTAAGCACAGATGAAGCATCTTCAAGAAGGCCCTTCAAAGGCGTCACAGATCACAGAGTCTTTAGGCAGCAGAACATCAGCGGGCACACAGGGCCGGGCCGCCTGCTGTCAGGGAAGCACAGTCCCAGGATGACAGCTCTCGCCACTTCAAAGGACGTGTTACCTAGGCAAAGAGCAAACAGTCTCCAAGGTGACACTCGGGCCTCATCCAAATATTCTGTTTCATGGCATCTTCCCACCTAATGATTTCAAAACTCATCCCTAATTCTCCCTGCCATCAGTTGTTTCAGGATGATAAAAAGCAATTTCTACTGGGATCGTTCCTTCTCCATTTATGGGCTCGTAATCTTCGGCAGTACTTACAACATTTCCGTCTTTACAAGACAAGGTATAGGACTCATAAATGTCTTGGGAGATGGAAATGCTAATTGCCCTTATTTAATCATTGCACAATTATATACATGTGACAGATTATCACGCTGTACTCCATCAATATGTACAAATATCGTGAGTCACATTTTTTAAATGGGCAAATAAAGACGGTGTGGTAGTCACTGGGACTGTTCATCAACACATTGTCTTACATTTCTGTGTTCATCACCCACGACAGGTTTATTAGTCAGCTTTTGTTTCAGTAACAAGCCGTCCAAATGTTAGTGGCTTAGATTGGCAACTATTTCTTGCTCATAGGCCCCTGGTTTCCCTGGCCCAGCTGTGGCTCTGCTTCAGGAACCACCTGGCAAACCAGAAGCCCGCAGAAGAGGCAATGGCACCCACGCTCTGCTCTTCTACTGGAACAGTGTGAGTGCGGAAGAGGCAGTGAAAGCAAGAAATGCCTCTTTTTTGCTTTCTTTGTTTCAAGTACTGGGGAATGAACCTGGAACCTAGGGCCATCCCACCGAATCACATCCCCATTTTTATTTTTTGGTTTATTGTTTGAGTTTGCTTGTTTGTTTTTGTTTTTTTCAGATGAGGTCTCACTGAAATGCTAAGTTGTCCAGATTGACCTCAAATGTGTGATCCTCCTGCCTCAGCTTCCCAGTGCTAGGATTATAGGCATGTATTACCCCAACTGGCTGAGAAGTGTCTCTTAAAACTTTTTCTTGGAGCCAGCATTCTGCCGCATCCATTCGCGCTGGGTCAAACACAGCATCTCACAAAAGCACTAGAACATGTGTCCTGGGCTCCTGAGGAGGAGGAAGGAAGAAAATTACTTCCTAAATGTGTTGCATGACTATACACAGCATTTGGGCCCACAAAAACTGAACAGGCATGTGCTATGTTGCCTAGCACTTTCCCTCCCGCTGTCATGGTGACCAGCAGCCTTCTAAATTATCCTGTCACTTTGCAACCCTAAGTGAGGAAGATGTGCCTCACAATATCTGCCAACCATAAGACAAAGAACAAAAGCGAAAAGTAAACTTTCTAGCTTTAAGATGTTGAGGCTGTTTATCAGTGCGGCATGACTTATTCATCCCAGCAAACACAAACGGGAAAGCTTAACATTTTCTTTTCATCACTAATTCTAAGAGTAGGGAGTCAGTGTATTAATAACCTCTATCATGGCAAATAAGCTTATATATATATATTTACTCCTTCTCTTTCATCCTTTTCTTTTTATTCTATCTGTTTGAGTGTCTTTAAGGCCTCAGGCATTTTTATTGATATAATCAATCACAAAACATTCTTTTCACTGTACATATTGTCCCACATCTGGCCAGAGAGAGTCCCCCTAAAGTTGGATACTTTTTGACAAGACCCCAATTAGTCTCTAGCATTCCCTTTATACAATTTTCTGATAAAAGCTAGGAGTGGTGGAAGCCAGCTGCAATCCCAGCACTCTTTCAAAGTTGAGGGAGAAGACTGTCAATTCAAGACCAGTCTGAGCCACTTAGTGACTTAGGGAGAGCCTGTCCCAAAATAAAAGAAAAACATTTTTATAGGGTGAGAACATAGCTCAGTGTGAAGGCCTTGAGTTCAATCCTCAGTTCCACACAGCAGCCCTGGCTCCATATAGGAAGAAAACAATGCCTGCATGTGTTGTGTGCTCAGTGCTACGGGATGCAATGATTTCTGAGCTTTTACACTGGACAGAGCATGCATTTTCACATTCCCTCTCTTCTTTTTCTTTCTCTCTTCCCACCCCACCCCACATCCTGGTTTCCTTATCCCTCTTTCTCTCTCCACACACATACACAGATAGCAAATTATACATAGAAAAATCAAAGCTATATCACAATACATGATTTATGTAGGTCCTGCATAGATTATATTATATAAAATGTATGTTCTTGTTGAGATTCCTAACTCAGATTTGATAATGATAGGGATTTCCCCTTCTTAATTTCTTTGTTTGGATATACTTTTTCCCTTTTGTTATAGGTTGAAAACCTTGGATATTAATATTAACCTCATGTTTGCTTTATTGTACAATATAGGTAAAATACTGTCAAAATTACAATAGCAACAATAAAACTGCAAAGTAAAGTTTAAGATTCCCTATAATTCTTTTTGTTCTTCAAAATATGCTGTCAAAAGCTGTTGAATAAGTGTCTGTGTACAAAAGACATTTGGTACAATTCCAAGTTTACTGTGTGGTTATATGTTATCTATGAGATATGCAACTCAGTGAGTTTTTACAGCTTTTAGTGGAAAGGCAAGATATGTGCAATTTGTCTTGTTAGGATCCTAGAGACAGTTTGAGCTCTGGCCCTATTTTGATCACTTAAATCATTATCACAGCTATTGTTCTGTGTTTTGCTCCAGTGAAAACCATTAAGCATTTTGGTATATCTACATTAATTTGAAGGAAAAAAAATACCCTTCTTCACTACAACTCTTGAAAGAGATCTAGAACATTGTATGAGCATCTGTAAAACTGCCGCAGTGGTAGACATGACCTCAGAAATGGCAGAATTCAAGGAGAGAAAGTGAAGGGAAAGAGCTACAGCTTAAACTGTGCCCCTGGGGAGGGAAAGGACCCATTAAGGGACATGAAAATGCTCAAAAAAGATGAAGGGGCCAAGTCAGGATCTTATAATGCCTCAGGTTATGAGTACTTGTTCCCAATGTATGGCACTCCAATTGGAGGAAATAACCTGGCCTCACAGAAGAAAAAACACTACCAACAACAGATCCAGCAGTTCCTGTCCTAACTAGTTACTTCTACTAGTTCCTTTAATCCCTCTGACAAATCAGTGCTGCCTATGCTTATTCTTGTTTTATCAGTAAAGAAATGGAGGCAGACAGGAGATTTATGACTTACCTGAAGTCTTACAGACAGTGTCAGAGGTAGGATTCAAACCAAGAGATTTTCAGCCAGCATCCAGCACTTCACAGGAATCTCTTCATTTGGCTGTAGAAAGCTAAAGGATTATTCAAGACAAGCAAGATTCTGTATCACCTATATCTTAGTTATTTTTCTCATTGCTGACACAAAATACTTCACATCTACAAGTTAAAGCAGGAAAATTTTATTTCAGGTCATAGTTTGTAGAGGTTTCAGTCCATAATCAGCTGGTTTCGAGGCAGGGTAGCATGGCTGAGGAGAAACAGTCCATAACAGAGCAGACAGGAGGCAGAAAAGAAGTGAGCCTCACTTCTGCTTTGTTTTATTCCAACCAGACTACAAGCCTACTGGTTAATGCCATCCACACCCGGGGCAGGCCTTCTCGTTATCCACACCCAGAACTATGCTAAATCAATTAGCGGACCAATCCATTACAACACACCATTAGTCCTAGTATCATACACCCATGACCCACCAACCTTTCAAAGCCCTACCTGTGAGCATATGAGGCATTGGGAGACATCTGAGTACAAGCCATAACAACCTATAATAAACTGGTGATAACAACTAGCAAAAGAGTCCTCAAACTATCCTTTCAGATCCAGGTAAATCACTTTATCCCTAAGTGTGGAGTAATTTTCTTGAATAAAAATACTGTCTTGCCCAATACTGCTACTCAGATAACACAGGGTGGCAGCCATGTAATGAACAAGCATCACCTGATCACACTGTGAATGTATCTATGAACAAAATCCACATGGATGGGAAAATGAGATCTCAGAGATAAGCTCGGTGTACTTCTGTGAGCACTGTGTGTTTGTGTGTGTGTGTGTGTGTGTGTGTGCAGTTGCCTTCTAAGTTTTTGTTTTGTTTGTTCACTTGTCTGGCTTGTGTAACTTCACCATCCTTTCACACCAGGGCTCCCAATTCTCCCTCCTATCTGCACAGCTAAACCTGGGCTCCAGGCACACACAGCTTGGTTTTGGGTAGAAACAATTCTCTGAGCTTCCTGTGCCAATTTTACACACCAGGTAATGACTGCAGGGTGCTCTACTAACAAATCCCACATTTCAAGGGCACTCTGCCAAGTGGAAAATAAGAAAGTAAAATAAAACAAATCTCATGGAAGAAAAGTCGTTAGAAAGTTCTCCTTCTCTTGACTCTAAATTAACGACCTTTACTGTTTCCACAACCAGCACAGGAGTGAAAGCCAAGTGCCAGCAAACACCTGCTCTGGATTTCCACCAAGCTCTTGAACTACCAGGCAGTTAACTCAAGCAGATTTAAAAAAAATAGTAATACTTAAATAGTTGTACACTTCTATTCTCTTCACTCTTTTTTGACTGTGTTACTCACATGATTTGAGTAGACTGTGAGGACAGAAGGTAAAGGATAAGGGCTACAACTGAATAAAAAAAGACTAGCATATCACATTTTGCAGGAATTAGAATCCCAGAGAAAATCTGATAATATCAGTAGCTGTATTAACTCAAGTGAGAGTTGCAGCTACCCCAGAAAACTAAAAACTCTCAGTGCCATACTAGTAAGATACAATGAATTTTTGCTCCCCTTCCAGTGGGATGTAATTGCTCTGGCCTTGGTGGTTCTGCATCAAGCAGTGACTCACACACATGGTTTCCTTCCACACCTGTGCCATTCTACCTTCAAGATGCCTCTGCCAGCATGGCCGCTGGCATCTATGTCTGGTAAGTTGACAAAGAAAGTGTGACTGCAGAAAGCACACTGTTCATCTGCTGTTTCATCTCCTCTGTCTATAAGAAAAGCACATCACAGTCTCCAACTGGTGATGTTCAGTACCAGCAACGGACTAGGAGTTTGGGACAGACTCAGAGAGAATGTCATGAACTTAGCCCTAGAAGTCTGAGTCTCAACAGTTCCCTGGGAGCCACTTATTTTGGAAAATGAAAGCAGCACTGTGAAGGAACTCAAAGGAAAAGAAGCGAAGGTTGCCATCTCTCAAAAACTTTGGATCTGTGCAGAACAGCCCAGCCTAAGCCAAGATTGTGAAGTCATTCGCAGAGGACCTCTCTTGTCTTGTTTACAGCTTGTTCCTCTCAGACATTCTCCTGACAGGTATTTAGTGCTTTCATGTGATTCCGAGTTTCCTAGGCCCCCGCATTTAGTGGCAATCCTATTGCATTTTCTTTGGACATTCCCTGGTGACCAGCTAATCAAGATGCAAGATGCCCACTGCTGAGTTGAGCTCTGTCTTCAATAACATCTGCATCTTAGTACTCCTTATTTAATTAAACTGAGCACTATAGAAACTTTGGACCCCACAAAAATGATTTAATCATTTATCTCAGTCCAACTTAGGAGAAATTTGACAGGCAAAGTATCCTTTGGAAATCCCTCAGATCATAATACAAGGTAGCTGTTTGCTAGGTATGAGTGAAGTCAACACACCAAGGAAACATTAACACAAAAGTCTCTGTCAGGTTCACAGTCATTTAAAGCTGATAAAGCTCTTTAATATCCACATACAAATAAAAACAGCATCACGGAATAGGAAAAGCACATAATCTGCATCTTCCTTAAGAGACTTGCATAAGCTAAACTACTTTCCTGAATCTACAAGGCTAATAGACAGTACACTGAAGACATAAACCAAGACATAATGACTCCTAATCCAATACCCTTTTATAATTCTAGAGGAAATGAATACTTTTTCCTGGTATCTAGTCATGTGTGTACATGTGTGTATGTGTGTACAGTGTGCTACTGAGGATTGGACCCAGGACCTTTGACTGAACTAAATCCCCAGCCCTCTTTTTATTTTTTTTATTTTGAGACAGGGTGTTGCTAAATTACCCAGGCTGTGTTCAAACTTACAATCCCTGTTTCACCTCCCAGAGTACTGGGATTATAGACATGTGTCACTAGACTCAACTTAATATTTTTAAAGATATTTAATTATCTTTTCTCCAAACCTCCTCAAGCTACAAAAGTAGCCTGTTTGTCTATTTTTGCACTCAGATATTCATTTCGTGTTTTCTCTGTAAGACCTATTATCTCTCTGTTCATGTTCAAGTTTTCCCCTTTTTCTACCTCAAATATTTTCTAATGTCCAATTATCTAGGGAGAATAATTCATAGTTTGATTAAGTTGCATGGCTGTACGATTGCATGTGGTGCTCAATACACAGGAAGCTCCTCACTACTGCTGATGCTGACCCTCCCACCCAGCCTTGTCAACCTACAAAGAAGTGTCTCACTGATCCCCTCCTTTTAAAAGAAAAAAATATGAACACTAACTAAGTAAGTGCCGTCACAGCACTGTAAGATGTCAGGAATGCAAGTGAAGGTCTGTGACCTGCCACATAAAAGGGACTCTAGCTCTGAGTTAGTTACAAGGCAGAAGTAAATTCCTTCTCAAATACCATGCCATGCAGATCTGCTGATGCCCAATAGGGCCAATGCAAATTTGTTTCTATGTTTAGGAGAAAATCTAAAATGACTGCTCCACTTTCCCAGATTTTCATTTTCATTCAGGACACTCCAGTGATCCTCAACCTGCATCCCTGCCTCTTTCTCACAACCTCTGTCCTTCCTTTCCTTTCCTGAGTTCATTTTGCCCCGGCAGAAATTATTTTCTAATTATTCCCCCTCCCTCACTGCTTCCTCTCAAAACTCACCATATGAAGTCTCTTCGGAATTTCTTTTTCTTTAAGATCCTGTTGCTATAAAATTGAGGACACAATTATGGAACTGTAGTTGGAAAAACAATAAGGCGAATCTAGCCTGTGGCTTACTTCCCTAAGGATCTGAGCTGAGAATGGTTTTTACAGTTTTTTAAAGGACTGCAAAGCAAAACAAAGAATATAAACCACAGAGACAAGAAGGAACCCAAAAGCCTGCAGTCCTTTTGGGGGTAAAACTTTCCAGCTCCTTTTCTAGACTATGACCCTGCTCTGACCTCTTACCTAGTGTCACCATCTGTAATCTTGATTATTTTTTGAAAATCTCTCCCCAGAAGTGAAAGCAGAGGACACAGGACGACAGGGCAACCAGTTGCAAAAGAGAACCCAGGGTTTCTAGTACATTTCTTCATATGCTATGATATTCCCAGAAGAACCTGCTTTTGCTCCAATTTGCATTGGGGGAGGGGGGTCACAGAGAACAGCTCCCCAACTTTGACATACTCTGCGTGTCAGAGGTCCACCCAGAGAACCAGCACCCTGAGAGGCCTGGCCTGTGAGGCAGCTAGGAGAGTGTGCAGAAAAAGGTCTGAAAAATGTATCTTTCAGGGGCTTCCTAGGTGGTGGCAACGCATCATCCCAGCCACACTAAAATAGAGACTGGTTTTATTGTTTCCCCCACATTTGAACGCTACCTTTTCTCTGCTGAGCCTCCGTTAGCAATCAAGGTGTGACTGGAGACATAAAGAGCCTGGGCCACAGGGACAGCAGCCTCCCTGAGGAGCAGGCCATTGGCATGCTGGTGGTGCCGCCAAGCCCGGCTGCTTCTCAGGAGTCAAATATCAGAGCCAGTGTATGTTATGACTTGGTAACAGCATATCTCACGAAAGCCTCTACTAAAAATTCTGAGAAGAAAATATGCTCTCTGCCAGCAAAACAGGATGAAAGGAAAAAACCAATAAACACCGCACCACAGCAAAATTTACAGCCATGACCTACCTAATTAATTGCAGGCACATGCTAGCTGCAGAACAGGTGAAACTGATGTTTAACCTGAGGCTGAAAGGAGACTTAGGAGACAAATATAAGAGCAATAACAATAACAATGTCAAGAGAAAAGATTCTTGCAGACTGGTGATGTTGTTCCTACTAGAATGGAAGAAGTCCCTCTCATGACTTTTATGTTTAATAAATGTTTATTAAAACCATGTGAACTGTTACTTCCTTGTGTAAAGCTCAAACAGGTTAAAATAGTTCTTCAGGGTCACATGGTTAAAAATGGCAGTACAGAGACTAGAAGGTCAGGCAGAGACACAGGCAGAGAGCACAGAGGGAAACAGATGTGGCTTTGACTCTCAGATCTGCAGGCTGTAGCTGTACTCACTGCTCTGAGC